AGGGTTAGCTGCTGCCTTATTAACCAATGAAAATGTGCAACAGGTTCCAACTACTGACCAATAAGGACAGTCACAAAAGTGGCCAATCAGGGACTGGTTCTGGCCCAATCCCAAGTTGTTGTATAAGGACCAATCAAGTGTGCAGGTTTTCAACCCCTAATTTGCATTTAGGTTATTCACTTTTATTGATTCACAACACCCCTCCCCCTTGGGTTCCGTTTGAGGGGAGCTGTGATAAAATCCTCAAGATAGGCAGGCCGTTTGGTCTGCCTGGATGATTTCCGAGGCTCCACCGGGTTTTGTCCAATGTCCGGTTCCGGTGGAGCGTTTGGATGACCATTGTTAAGTTCTATTTCGCTGCACGGCGATTCCGTGCTGCATTCACTGTGGTTGTCTCTGCTACTGCGTGTTTCTTCGGGTTTTGCAGTTCGTTTTCCCCCGTATTAAAGTTCCCTGAAAAAGTCAACTCCCTCCCCGCTTCACGTTCCGGTGCTTCGCTGGGCTGTAGGGCTCCCGTTGACCTGCTATTAGTTGTATCAAAGTCAATTCCCTCGAAACTCCCTCCCCCTTGAGTTGTTGAACCGGGGAAGTCATGGCCGCTGGGTGGTAATCTCGATCGGAGTTGGTCTATGTGGCGTTTCCACACCCTCCCATCGTCTGTTAGCAGGCGGTAAGATCTAGGCCCGGTGAGGTGGGTAACGGTTGCGGGTATCCATAACGGGTCGCCGGAAAAGTTTTTGGCAAAGATTAAATCGCCTACCTTAAATTCCCGGCATTTGCTGCTGGAGCCGAAAGGTTTTTCTGGTGCGAAAGTGGGGTGGAGCGCTTCAAGGTGCGATCGTATTTTCCGCCCCATAAGAAGTTCAGTGGGTGTTTTGTTGGTCACGCTGTGGGGCGTGATGTGCTGCAATAAGAGGATTCGATTGATTTTCTCGTCGAAGTTGCCAAATTCCATTTTATGCAGGGTCTTTTTCACAAATTGTACCATGCGTTCTGCACGTCCATTCGCCGCAGGGTGCGCGGGCGAGGTCAGCGCATGGCGGATGCCCCGATCAGCAAGATATTGTTCAAAGGGCAATGCAGTGAACTGTGGGCCATTGTCCGAGACCAACACGTCCGGAAACCCGTGCGTGGCAAATAGTCTGTTTAATTTATTAATAACTGAGTCGGTTGTAGTTGTGTGCATTCGATGAATCTCGAGCCAGTTAGAATAGGCGTCGACAGTAATCAGGAAAGTGTGACCTTTGGTAGGCCTCGCAAAGTCAATATGAATACGGGACCACGGTCCCCTCGGTGTTTCCCATTCGGTTGGGCTTGCTTTCGGTGGGGCGTTGCTGACGTCCTGGCAACGTTGGCACGTAGCGACCCAGGCCTTGATTCTTTTGTCGATTCCCGGCCACCAAGCGTAGCTGCGTGCGAGTGATTTCATCCGCACAATGCCCGGATGTCCCTCATGCAATACTGCCAACACAGTCTCTTGCAATTTGCCAGGGATTACGACCCGATCGCCCCACAAGATACAGCCTTTTTGGGAAAACAGCTCGGTTTGGCGGGCTTTGAAGGGCACCCATTCAGGTGCAATTTGGTCCGTCGGCCACCCCCGTTCAACCCAGCGTAGTATGTGTTGGAGAACTGGGTCACGTTTCGTTTCAAAAGCAATGTCTCTAGCCATCAAGGGTGGTGCCTGTAGAGTTTCAATCTGTAGTGTTGAGAGGGTTGGGGCTGGATCCACAACAGCGTCTGGGAGCGGTGTTCTGCTCAATGCATCGGCGTGGAGAATCGATTTCCCCGGGCGGTGCTGCAAGGTGTAGTTGTAGGCCGCCAGGAATTCAGACCAACGGGTCATTCTGGGGGACAATATATACGGGGTTGGTTTATTACCCGCAATGATCCCCAGTAGCGGTTTATGATCAGTGATTATTGTAAACGCACGGCCATAAACATATTCGTGAAATCTTTTAACTGCAGCAACAATAGCTAAAGCTTCTTTGTCCAGCTGACTATAATTTCGTTCAGCTTTAGCTAAGGTTCGCGAAAAAAACGCGATGGGGGCTTCCGCTCCGTTTGGTAACACGTGGGCCAGAATTGCCCCAACCCCAAAAGGTGATGCATCACATGTGATAGTGAGTGGCAGGGTCTCGTTGTACTGCATAAGTACTGAATCAGAAGTTAGCAATTTCTTTACTTGTTGGAAAGCATGTTGTTCCCGTTGTCCCCAAACCCACGTTGCTTTTTTGTCTAATAGTCTATGCAATGGTTCAGCTACTGTTGCTTTGTGGGGTAAAAACACATTATAGAAATTGATAAGTCCAAGGAACGCCTGTAGGTCTGCCTTGTTCCTCGGAGTGGGTGCCTTTTTAATTGCTCGTAATTTGTCTTCGGTGGGATGAATTCCTTGGCTGTCCAGGAGGTATCCCAAAAATTCTACTTTTTCGGTACATAAGTGGCATTTATCTTTTTTTACTCTGAGGCCTGCATTTTGGAATCTTCGTAAAACCTCTCTGAGTCGTTTTTCTAGGATGTCTTTGTTAGGTGCGGCGATGAGTACATCGTCGAAATATGGGACAATGCCTTTTATCCCTTGTAACAACCTTTCCATTAAACTCTGGAAGATTCCAGGGGCGACGCTTACTCCGAATTGGAGCCGGTTGCATTTAAATGCGCCCCTATGTGTTACGATCGTTTGCGCCTCGGCTGTGGTTGGGTCTACAGGCAATTGTTGATACGCCTGGGCTAAATCTAGTTTGGCGAAAACTTTCCCGCCGCCCAGAGAATGGAGTAAGTGTTGCACTACCGGTACTGGATAAGCACTTTGCTGCAGTGCGTGGTTTAATGTGGCCTGGTAGTCTCCGCAAATTCTTAGGGACCCATCAGGCTTGATAGGCGTCACTATCGGGGTTTCCCAATGGGCGTGGTCGGTGGGTTCCAGTATGCCCTGCGCTATCAGCTTATCGAGTTGTTCGTCGATTTTAGGCTTTAAGGCGAACGGCACCCGACGCGGCTTAAGGCGGATGGGTGCTATTTCAGGGTTCAAGTTAAACGAGATTGGGGTCCCCTTATACTTGCCTAGTCCATTCGTGAAAACGTCTTGGAATTCTTGCATGAGTGCTTCCTCCCAATCGACGCTTTCGGCCTTGTGGACTCCGGCTACAGTGATTCCGAGCGGCCTGAACCATTGCAGGCCTAGAAGACTAGGCCTGTCTCGATCCACGACAGTCAGTGGTAGTGCGACGGTGCGGTCCTTGAATGAGACCTGGAATCTGCGGGACCCGACGACGGGAATTCGGTTGCCCTGATAGTCTTTGAGTATAACCCTCTGAGGGTTAAGGTCTTGGCGGCGAATCGTTGGAAGGAGCTGTTGGAGCGTTTTCCACGACACCATCGAGAGGGAAGATCCCGAGTCTACCTCCATCACGCAAGGTTTGTTTTCGATGGCGACCTTTACTCGGATTTTCCCAGCATCAAGGGATGTAGCATGGCCTATGGTGATTGTTTGGTGGGTCTCTTCCCGCCTGGTTTCTTCACGCCTGGTGGAAGTGGTGGACGGCTTGTTTCTGTAGGAGTGGTTCAATTTTTCTCGGTGTGTGCCGAAGAATCCTGAAGACTGGAATTCGGCCTGTCGGGGTTTGGAGTTCTGTTTGCTCCTGCAAACCTTTGCGATGTGACCGCGTCTCCCGCAATGGCGGCAAAGTGCGTCAAGGAATTTGCAGCTGGATCGTGGGTGATTTGCTCCACAGCCGGCACACAGTCGAAATGAGTGTTGTGAGGACTGGTCTCTCTCCGTTCGAAGTCGGTTGACCTCTTCCTCATCGCTGTCGGACGGGGACTCTAGGTCTTCGTGGTGAGTTGATACCGGGTGTCTCTCTGAGCGAGGCGAGGTATCAGTGGCGAGTTTACGTAGCGGTGCGTTGGTGCGGCGCATTTGGGCTGCCGACTTCTTTGTCGCCTCTGCTGCCGAGGCTTCTTCAAGGGCATCGGTGAGGCTGATGTCCCCCTTAGCCATAATTTTGCTCTGGATAGCGCTGTCTTCTAGGCCCAGAACCAGGCGGTCCCGGAGGGCTTCTTCCAAGTCGGTGAACCCGCAGAGGCCTCCTAGGTTCCGGAGGTCCGCGATGTAATTGGCAAGGCTTTCGCCCCTTCCGTTGATCCCTCTGGTAATATTCGTGTCTTCTTACTAGGGTTGGTACGGAGGGCGCGTAGTGAGCCCGTAGTAATGGCTTGAGGACGTCCCAGTCCATTTCTTTTACCTCTGCTGGCTTGGCAAGCGACTTTGCCATTTTAAACACGGTTGGTCCACAATGCGTTAGAAAGATAGCTCTTTTTTTTGCCGGTTGTTGCATCTTTCAAATTGTTAGTTTCCAGAAACATCTGGAACCGATCCATGTAGGCCTCCCAGTCTTTGGTTTCTGGGTTGAATGGAGCGGGTGGTACGGCACCGCTGGCCATGTTGCCGTTGATGGTGCGTGTTCGACCACGTGCTCTGTTAGTTGCTCTGTAGGTTAGTCAGCTCTTCGGTCTCCGGATCCCATCCTCGTCGCCAGTGTTAAGTATGGAGAATAATGGAGACCAGACATCTGACCAGTGACTTCAACTCTTTAATAAAGTAATAGAACATAACAGAGCAATGCTATGGGCAGCAGTAACCCTTTTATAGGGTTAGCTGCTGCCTTATTAACCAATGAAAATGTGCAACAGGTTCCAACTACTGACCAATAAGGACAGTCCCAAAAGTGGCCAATCAGGGACTGGTTCTGGCCCAATCCCAAGTTGTTGTATAAGGACCAATCAAGTGTGCAGGTTTTCAACCCCTAATTTGCATTTAGGTTATTCACTTTTATTGATTCACAACATAATGCATCATGAAAAACAGTACGTACCAGTCAACTGAAGAGCCTCTGTTCAGTTTTCATAGATCCCTTCCATCTCAATCCTTTGGTCTTGGTCTTGACCCTCAGAAGATACTTAATAGGGGTCTGCCTGGTGAGAAGCAGCATGATTGTCATCTTCTATCCCAGAAGTCTTCAACCTTGGCAACTTTAAGACTTGTGGACTTCAACTCAAGGAGGAATTCTGAGAGTTGAAGTCCACAAGTCTTAAAGTTGCCAAGGTTGGAGAACCCGTTCTATCTCATTACCTGGTCCCAGCTCTTTTCAGGATTCAGGCAATACTTTTTTCAGCCTTTTTTTAAAAACATAAAGTAGCTAACTAATAGCAGAACATGGACTGTCAACAAACTCCATAATAAATAACAATACAACACAGAACAAAAAAGTGTGTAGTTTTGGATAACATATTTTATTCAGTGTTTAGGTTAAAAAAAAAGAATATTATATATGCAATGAATTTTTAAATTCAAATCAGCAATGAAACAAATGGCCTTAAAGATGTTTTCTTATGAACAAATTCTGCTCAGCTTCTTGTAAAAGTATTTGCAATGAAGTTAAATTGAGAAAAGTGGCTGCATTCCAAACTGAAACTACTCTGTATGTTGTAATTGAAACTTTAAAGCAATTGCTTGGCCGTAGGATTTAGAATCAGTGGGGGCTGATTGTATTACCTTTTCTTTCCTCTTCCAGTTCAGCTAATGCTTAAAATGTAAGATTTTCTCCTCCTCCTCCTCCTCCTCCTCCTCCTCCTCCTCCCAGAAGGTCTGTTTAATAATAATAAAAAAGAAAATAAAAAAGAAAATTAAATTTATCTTTTACCAGCTTTTGGAACTTTGGTTTCCTGAGATAACATTTTTCAGACCAGCTCATTCAGTAAGCATTGTAAAACGGCACCCAGGTATATAAGAGGCTGGTGCCAATACATGACTTCCTGGAAAGTTGGGGACACTTATTGGGGATTTTATATTAACTTAAACAGCTTTTCCCAACTTATTCACCTTTCATATCTGGAATTTTCATCTTCCAGGATTTTAAGCAATGGCCATTCTGGCTGGTGACTTATTGAAAACTGCCCAGCAAACTTCCCAACATATTAGCTAGATGATGGCCAGCTTAGGGGTAGGCAGGGAAGAATCAAGCTTGTTCCTCCATACACACTTCCAGGTTCAGAGTTTATTGAGTAGCAGTAGTCTGAAAGTAAGTCGAGATCTACTTAATGGAGATTTTTTAATAACTTGATGTCAACCTGTATGGATTTTGTCTTGCTTATGGCCTGGTTTGTACATGACTAGGAGCACCAGATCTGGACTACAAAAAAGAAACAATGTAGGAATGTCTGGATTCCCTTTGCCTAGGTCTGGTAGATCTAACATTGCATTAAAATATGGTTACTCATGTCATTTGAATAAACCACCAATGGCTGAATTTACACAATACTATATGAAAGAAGAACTGAGAGAGCCTCTCAGTTCTGCTACAGAGAAGAGGATGTAGCATTCTATAACATGTGTGGCTTATCTACCATGTTCTGATTGGTGAATAAAATTCTCATATCTTTTGTGGAGTACAGTATATAGGGAGATCATCTGAGATGTAAAACATATGTGTTCTGTACAGTCAATTAACATACTCGTAAACCCCGCGTCATGATTGGCTAAAGCGCGCGGCGACCGGATTGGCCGAGCGAGCTGCACTGATTGGCCCGTTAAGAACCTCCCGCGATTGGATAAGCCAAGCGCGGGAGATTCAAAGCGATGCCATTGGTCGGGGCCGCCGCGGCTTGGAAATAAATAGCCGCAGTTTTTCCTTCCAGCTTAAGCTGTAACCGGAGCACAATAAAGAGCTGAAAATAGTCACTGACTCCGAGCTTCCTTCCTGCGCCGGACACGACACTGGCGATGAGGGTGGGATTCAAGGAAGAACCACCGAGCACGTGTCCGGAGGAAGACAAAGACCGACTAGATGGCCGGCATCACCCCGCCCGCGCCATTCAACCCAGCTACCGAGGACTGGGAATCGTACACAGACCGATTCCTAATGTTCCTCGAGAGTAGCAACTTGAAGGACGCTAATGGACAGAAGAAAAGGGCCGTTTTTCTGACGCACTGTGGGCCCGCGGTGTTCAAGATGGCAAAAGCCCTCGCAAAACCCGCAGATGTAAAGGCGATGGACTGGGCCGTCCTTGCGCCATTACTCCAAAACCACTACGCCCCCACCGTGCCCATCCTCATCCGGCGGGATGAATTCTACCGGCGGAACCAGCGGCAGGACGAGAGCGTCAGCAATTTCATAGCCGACCTGCGGGACCTCGGGGGCCTGTGCGAGTTCCAGGACTTGGACGACATCCTCCGAGACCGCGTGGTCCTAGGTCTCCGGGACCAGGCACTGAAGAGCCGCCTGATGGCGAAGGGCGACATCGACCTCGCCACCGCCATGGCGGAAGCTTCCGCAGCCGAAGCCACCAAAAAGTCAGCAGCCCGACTGCGGAAGGCAGAAAACGTGGACCGCGCCGACAACCCCGAGGCAACCCGCCGAGAGACCACCACACACCACGGGGACCTGGACTCCGCCTCGGACACCCCGGAAGAAGAAGAAGACGTCCATCGGCTCCAGACAGGACGAGACCGACAAGATCAATGAGGTCGTAAGTCGGGGACCCAGTGCGCGGGGTGCGGGGGCAACCACTTCCGATCAGAATGCCGTTTCATCGACGCGACCTGCTGGCATTGCAATAAGAGGGGCCACATCGCCCGAGTCTGCCGGCTCAGAAAAACTTACAGCCCCCGCCGCCGAGAACCGAGCAACCGGAGGCGAGACGACACCCCTCCCAGGCACAGAGAGCGCCAAGCCGACAATCGCTGGAACCGAGACAACCGGGGGCGACGAAACGGGGAAAACCGCCAGAGGGAAGAAACCCACCAGACGGTCACGATTGGCCACGCCGAGACCACCGATGCCCGAAAGGTCTACGTGGAAGTGAACATCGAGGGCGAGCCCTGCCGGATGGAGGTGGACTCCGGGTCCTACCTCTCCATGATCGCCTGGAAAGAAATCAAGCGGCTGGTGCCAAACATCCAAAAGGCAGGGCTGGAGAGCCAAAAATTGGTGGTCAAGGACTACCAGGGGAACCGAATCCCCGTCATCGGGGCCGGACAGTTCGAGGTGACCTTCAAGGGCCGCACCGCAAAACTTCCCCTGACAATCGTGGACCGGAACCGACCCAGCCTCCTAGGACTCCAATGGTTCGCACCACTTGGCATCGAGGTCACCGGAATAAACCACATCGAGGAAGCCGACTGGGAGCAGCAGCTGGCTAAGGACTTCCAAGAAGTATTCGACGGCACCCTAGGCAAGTACCGAGGGCCCCCTATCTCCTTCAGCCTAGACCCAAACATTGCCCCCATACGCCTAAAACCGAGGCGGGTGCCTTTTGCACTATGGAAAAAAATAGACGAGCAGCTTGACAAGCTCGTCAAACAGGGGGTTTTGCAGCCAATTGACCACACCCAGTGGGAGACCCCAATAGTCATCCCAGTTAAGCCAGATGGGTCAGTAAGGATCTGCGGGGACTATAAGGCAACCCTCAATTACGCCTTGCAACAAAGCGCCTACCCCGTCCCAGTAGTGCAACACCTACTTCACTCACTGGGGGGGGGGCAAAGTTTTCGCGAAGCTCGACCTGGCGCAAGCCTATCAGCAGCTGCCGGTCGACGAAGAAACCGCCGAGGCACAAATGATAGTCACCCACCGGGGAGCGTTTCGTTGTAACCGACTCCAGTTTGGAGTCAGCGTGGCCCCGGGGATTTTTCAAAGCCTCATGGAGAGACTACTGCAGGGGATAAAAGGGGTGGTCCCTTACTTCGACGACGTACTAGTGTCAGCAGCCAACCGGGAAGAACTAGAGGGTCGCCTAAGGGAGGTACTTGGGAAATTCAAAGGGGCCGGTCTAAAAGTGAAGAGAGAGAAATGCCAGCTTTGCACAGAGCAAGTCAAGTTCCTGGGGTACCTCCTAGACCGACATGGCATCCACCCGACCGGAAACAAAATAAAAGCCATCAAGGAAGCCCCCAACCCCAAGAACAAAACAGAGTTGCAGGCATTTCTGGGACTGCTAAATTTTTACAATGTGTTCTTGCCCCAAAAGGCGACCGCGGCGGAGCCTTTGCATAGGCTGCTGGATAAGATGGCAAAATGGACCTGGGGGACACGTGAGGATGACGCATTCAGGAAAACCAAGGACCTGCTAACCTCGGATGCCGTCCTCATACAATACAATGAGACTCTACCCCTCGTCGTCACATGCGACGCCTCACCTTTTGGCGTCGGCGCCGTCCTCAGCCATACCCTACCGGACGGAAAAGAAGCACCCATTGCTTTTTTTTCAAGGACACTTAGCAAACCAGAAAGAAACTACAGCCAACTGGACAAGGAAGCCCTGCCCATCGTTGCAGCAGTAAAGAAATTCCACGAGTACCTTTACGGCCGCCGATTCACCATTATCACGGACCACAAGCCGTTGCTGGGAATCCTGGCGGGGAACAAGGACACCCCGAACATCCTATCCCCCAGGATGACAAGGTGGTCCGAGTTCCTCACCGCCTACGACTACCGGCTCACACACCACCCCGGTAAGACAATCACCCATGCAGATGCACTGAGCCGCTCGCCATTACCCGACCTCGATGACGACCCGGCCCCCACGACGACCACCCTCAGAATAGAGGCATTGCCCGACCTACCCATAACCGCGTCAGACATTGCCCGAGAGACTAATAAAGACAAACGTCTGGCGTGGGTATTGCATTGGGTAGAAAAAGGGTGGCCGGAAAAAGACAACGACAAATCGTTCAGGATATTCCGAAACCGCCAAACAGAACTGTCTTTGCAAAAAGGTTGTTTGTTATGGGGGGACAGGGTGGTCATACCAGAAAAACTACAAGGGAAAGTATTAAAACTTTTGCACGAAGGGCACCCGGGCATCGTACGAACAAAAGCCTTGGCCAGAAGCTACGCTTGGTGGCCAGGCATGGACAAGGAAATTGAGGCTTGGGTGGCCAGGTGCTCACGCTGCCAAGAAACCAGACCAAATCCCCCTGCCGCACCGATACTAGAATGGGAGACCCCCAGGGGGCCATGGTCCAGAATACATATAGATTTTGCCGGCCCCACAAGAGGAAACACATTCCTCATCACGGTGGATGCTTACTCCAATTGGCTGGAGGTAAGCAACATGAAAACCACCACAACAGAAGCTGTCACCAGGGTACTCAACAAACTGTTCGCGACCCACGGTCTCCCGGATGTCATCGTGTCAGACAACGGGCCCCAATTCACCTCGCTGGAATTCGAAAAATTCCTAGCAGAACGGGGCATACGACACGCACTGACAGCGACGGCACATCCGGCGGCCAATGGTAGGGCAGAACGGATGGTCCAATTTACAAAGAAAACCATCCAAAAAATCGAACACGGGGACATACAAGAAAAAATAAATAAAACGATCCTAATACAACATATAACCCCTAATACAACGACAAACAAAAGCCCGGCAGAATTACTGATGGGGAGGAAACTAAGGTCCCCACTCGACAGACTGCACCCCACATACAACCCGGAAAAATCCCCAGACTCATCAAGCAAACACCGGGCATTTGCACCAGGCGATGCAGTCTATGCAAAAAACCTTACCGGAGACCCACTATGGGTACCGGCGACCATAACCCAACTAACAGGCCCCCACTCCTACAGGCTGCAAACAACGGACGGACAATCATGGAAACGCCACATCGATCAGTTAAGATCAAGGGCAAGAAACACAACCGACACGTAAGCAAGCACAGGCAACCTCATTAACACAAACCAAGGGGGGAGGGAAAATACAGGGGGCCAAGAAAGAATAGAAAATAACCAGCAATACTCACCGGGTAACAGCCAACTCGAAGCCTCACCAGGGAGAAGCAGCCAGGCCAGCTCAACCAGCCCGGAAAGACCAGGCGGGAGCGGCGAAAGTCGCAGCTCGACCAACCCGGGTAGACTGGGAGGGAGCTGCAACGACAGGCCCGGCAACACCTTCCAGGCGATTCCATCGACGAGGCCAAGAGACACAGAGGCCCCGACCGAACTGGTCGAAAGCCAAACAACAACTAACCTGCGCAGGTCCAGTAGGCAGGTACGAAGCCCCGCCTACTTACGGGACTACGTTACGTAGGACCGAACCAAGAGGGGAGGGGTGTTCTGTACAGTCAATTAACATACTCGTAAACCCCGCGTCGTGATTGGCTAAAGCGCGCGGCGACCGGATTGGCCGAGCGAGCCGCACTGATTGGCCCGTTAAGAACCTCCTGCGATTGGATAAGCCAAGCGCGGGAGATTCAAAGCGATGCCATTGGTCGGGGCCGCCGCAGCTTGGAAATAAATAGCCGCAGTTTTTCCTTCCAGCTTAAGCTGTAACCGGAGCACAATAAAGAGCTGAAAATAGTCACTGACTCCGAGCTTCCTTCCTGCGCCGGACACGACAATATGAAAAGCAGACCTCATTTCCATGCTGCTCCCATGGAAGGGCCGGAGCAGGCAATTCTTTGTCTCGGTACCCTCCAGGATTTGAACTCAATTCCATAGCATCCAACTAACTTCAGCGTTCACAACTGGCAATCTCCTCTAGGAGCCAATGGAATGAGATACTTGAATAAAGGGGCTCTTTTGAATTGCTCTTCAATGCTCTCTGAGCTTGGTTGTTTTTTTGCAGACCTTTCATTACCCAAACTAGGTAAGATCATCAGTGCCACTAAGGAATAGGTCTAGTAAGAAATGGGCAAATCCCATTCCTTACCAGCTTTTGATGTTGGCTAAGGACACATCTGCAAGAAAACAACCAAACTTCAGAGACCATCAAGGACCCCTCATTTCAACCCTGAGCTACAACTATTCTCCTTTATCAATTGCGCCTCAGGCTCACAGACCTTTTACTTTTACTTCTGAATTCGAGGGAGAAGTTGCCCCATTGATCCTAGGCCACAAATGGTTTCATCGTAAGCTCTGGGTGTGATGTCTCAATCTACTATTAAAGGACACTGATGTACCATTCCTGGATGTGGCCACGTTGAGGCAGACTTAAAAATTACAGGAATGTAAAGTCCTAATACTTTCCTTCTAGTTTGTTCTTCAAAATGCACAGATCTCTAGGGCATCATTAAATATTTTCTGAGTAATGCAAAGGTGAATTATGGTTTGGAATGTAGTTTCAACCCATTACAAACTATCTCATCCACCTCAGGCTAAAATATTATGTTTCTTTGGTTTCCACCTTCATCCTTTATGAGTATGATTCCTGGCATCTCCATTTGGGGACCTGACAGCTCCCAACTGGCTTAAGAGAAAGAAATGCATTATCTTTAAGCAAAAGTTCCTAAACACCCTTTCCAATAAAGTCATTTTAGGGGAGAAAAACTATAATACAAGTTAAATAAAAACACGGTAATATTAGAGAAAGCAGCTGAAGAAGCTCTTTCTAACATATTGTACATTTCAACTATGCTCGATCAAAATATTTGGTTGAAGCTTATGAATTTAAAGTTGCAAAATTAAGCAAGTTCTCTGATATTTGTTTATTGGTAAAGAGGAGGTTACATTGCATAACATTCTCTAAACCCTTTAAAGAAGCAGATCAAGGGTTGGACTTGATTAGATTTCGCTATCTTGTCTTTGAACTAACATTATCAGTCTCACTCCTTTTTGCTTTAATGTTTTTCCCTAAGTGTGCATAAAGAGAAAATGTACACATTTACTGTTTAAATGTATTTAAATGCATTCATTAAATATTTATTATTTAAATGTTCAAAGGTGATTTTCATAATGACAGATTGCATATTAGATATTCACAAACTAGGAGGATTCCGTTGTGCTGACGGGATCTAAGCAAGTTTCATTAAACTGAGAAACTTAATTTCTCTTTCAAACCTGTTGGCTGTCATCTCTGCGTGGCTAAAAGTTTTGTATTCTGCTTTTGCTTGTCTTGGACCAGCCTTGCTTCAGGTGACCATAGCAAAGTGAAAATCATTTATGTTTTTATTGCACAAAAAAAAATTCAGCCATGCATTTGATCAAATATTTATGATAATATCAAATGAAAACATTATCCAGAGCCATAAAGTGTGTCCCTAAAATCCCCAGGTTTTTTTGGGGGGGGAATCTAAATGGCTCTAGTAAAACTGGCTGCAAAAATATAATGATGATCATATTTATTCAGATTTGGCAGCTCTAAATATATAAAAGTTTAGAGCTGCTGAATTTTCTGCAAGGCTTATTTAGTTTATTTATATCTTACTCTCTTGAGCACAGGTAGAGAAAGTTTTTCTTAGTCATCTTGTGAGACTTGTAGAACTGCAGTGTCTTGGAAGAAAAACTTTGCTAAGCTGAAGTCAATGCCATTAGTTTCATAGCATTGATATATGGCACTGAGTAAGAACTTTTGGATCTTTCTGCCAGTAGCAGTCCCAGAATGCAATGACTCCCATTTAGAGGGATCAAACATAAAACTCTTTAATCTGGGCTCCTAGAAAGGAGAAAGGAGCACAGGCATAAATAATTGACACTGTCAGACTAGGAGACATTTTCTTGAGTGGTTGAAATGCAGGATCCTAGAAACTGAGAGGACAATATGTACATATTATAAACCTTATATTTATGGATATAATCACATCAACAGACATTTAGCTTTCTTCACCCACAGGATTAAAACTGGAAAAAAACTATTATCTATTAATTGAATTTATATGACCACCATATTTCAAAGTCATGACTGGATGACAATTAGTTTAAAATCAACATAAAACATTAAAAAAGAAAAGGCATTCTGCTCTGGCTTTCTCTGCCCGTGCAATTAATTATTATTTTTTTGCAGAGATTATTGGAAGAAAAACAAGTACAACTTTTATCTTTTTAAAGCTATCATTCAAAAATATTACTTTTTGTAAGAAGGGAAAGAAATGATAGTAAATAATTGGACTGAGAAGTTTTAATATAAAAAGTGAGGATGTAATTATAATATAATTATAATATATAAACAGTTATAATAATCCATTCTCAACACTCTTGCATGCTCTATTTCAAAACAAAACAAATGTATTTACTTATTTATTAAACTTAATGCCACCCATCTTACCAAGGTGAGTCCAGGCAGCTTACAATGAATAAAAAGACCAATTAATAAAAAGACCAATGTAAAGTATTAAAACAACAAAGTAACATTAAATTAAAATTAACCAAGATGCAGAGGAAGGGAATAAGATGCATATGGGGAGAAGGTGGGGTCTTATTATAGTTCATTAATTACCTCCAGAATAAGGGACCCCCATTGGGGCCCCAAGCTAGTTGGCAGTGGCAGGCCTTCCAAAAGGGTGGGGTGTGGATCTGGGGGCTATAGTCAGCAGGGGTTATAAGAAAGGATTAATGGATTATGGGGCCATTAGGGACCACAGTAGCGCACTCCTGCATGTTACCAATGAGGCAATTGCCTCTGATGGTTATGGTGGAGTGAGAAGAAATGACACTCCCTCAGCAGTACTGTCTATTCCCATCTTTTCAATAACAGAACTATGCTAGTTGCCCCAGTTATTAGTCCCTCTTCTAGAGTTGAAAGAAGGCCTTTCATTCTTTCTTTCTTTCCTTCCTTCCTTCTTTCTTTTCTTTTCTTTTTTCTTTTCTTTCTTTCTTTTCTTTCTTTCCCTCTATTTTCTTCTCATCCTATCCTTATTCTTTTTATAAATAAGTCAAGGCAATGAACACAGTGAATGCTCCTTCTTCCTCCTATTTTCCCCACAATAACAATCCTGTGAGGTGGGTTAGGCTGAGAGAGAGTGACTGGCCCAAAGTCACCCAACTGGCCTTAATGCCTAAGATGGGACTGGAACTTACAGCCTCCTGGTTTCTAGACCAGCACCTTAACCACTACAAGCAAGTGAGACAGTGCTACAAAATAGCCACTCTCAAAACATAACTTGGGATGTAGCTATGTTCTAGGGCATGAGTGTCAAACTCACTGCGTCACATTGCCATCGTATGACGTTTCGTGGCATTTTCCCCATCCGCGGAGCTGGGGTGGGCATGGCCTGAGCATGACGGATCCAGCACGTGGGCTGCAACTTTAACATCCGTGCTCTAGGGAATTCAGTGGTTGGTTGATCAGATATCAGAAAACATTGCACAAAACTAAAAAAAAATAAAGATGAGAGTAGATAGAACTGAAAAACCTAACAAATATTTATGTCTCCCTTCATAGTCAATTTGATGGTCACCATACTAGATAAGCTAGAGCAGGGGTGTCAAACTCAAGGCCCAGGGGCCTGATCTGGCCTGTGGGGTGATTAGATCTGGCCCGCAGGGCCACCCTGGAAATGGCGAAAGACTGGCCTGCGGTGCCTCTGCCAGCAAAAACAGAACTCGGGTGGGCTGCACACAGCCCTCTTGAGCTCTGTTTTCATTGGCAGAGGGTTACTTACAGGAGGCCGTTGCAGCCGAAAACGGAGCTCAGGAGTCTGTTTTCTCTGGCAGAGGGCTCAGGCCACCACAGGCACCCCTGACACGAGTGATGTCGAGCTGAGCACACCCACTCTGGCCACGCCCACTCTGGCCCTCCGAGGTAAAATACAATCCGGATGCGGCCTTCAATGAAATCGAGTTTGACACCCCTGAGCTAGAGGAATATAAGACTTATATTATTTTGGCCTCACATTTTAATTAAGAGTGTAATATTATGATACTAAAAGGTGAGATATCTTTTAAACTTTCTCTCTGGCTAAA